GTTGCCCTCCAAGTTTAAAAACTCTCTCCGAGGTAAACCGCGTCAAAGGAGTTTCCCTTTTCAGAGGTACCTTAAAGGTTTTTTTTCACATTGAGACAAAGGGATTATATTTCCGTGTTTATGGGTCCTCTTGAAAGAAACATAACAAAAAAATTTTTCTAATTTGGTTATTCTTCTGTTAGAGCTGAGGAACGGACCCGATTTGGGCACTTCGGAATTTTTTTATGAAGGCCTCATAAATCCATATAATTTATTCTCTATATTAAGCGAAGCAGGTTTTAAGGATCTAATTTCTCATTAAATTTAGATTTCTAAATAGAGCTTTATTTTATTTTGAAAACTACTTATGCCTTCCCATCTAGTAGTACTATTGCTATTACAACAAAAGTTAACTTTTCATGAATCAGATTTCTATTTTAAGTATCAAAACCTTTTGAATTAAAAAAAACACCCAATATATATATTGCAATTGCGATAAAAGAACTGGTTAGAAGAACTATGATGAAGTCTAAAATATATACTGAAGTTCTATTTTTTCTCAAAAACTTGTATAATTTTCGTATGCATGGTATTTTCCGATTAATTCCACTACTCACCCTGTTGTTATGATATAGTTACTCTCTAAATCCCCATGATTAAAGATTTTGAACAGAATAAGGATGAGTAATTTGTTATTGTCCTGCCTAGGTTGTATTTGTACTAACATGTTTTCCCAACAAAAGGATCACATAAATGAATGCTTATATATTTCATATGATCTGTATACTAATGACATGTTTCAAAAAAAAAAGCACATAATCCTACCCTGTTTTTATTCCATATATATTTAGCAAACCCCTTTTCTCAGTAGTTTTCCTAGGCTAAAACCATCTGCCAACTCTCAGAAATAACTATAAAGACTTTGCCTAACTTTTGTTGGCATTAGACTTCAAGGACTTTATTATATTAGTTTTTTTCGTTACAAATTTGATGGCCTTATTCTCTCTTGCTTTCTTTGTTGCCATTTCTTTTCTTAAGGTAGTTAGTATTAGTCAAGAAGTTTCATTAAAAAACCCATTAAAATAAAGAATAACAGTACGGTAACCATTTACAGAACTTTATATATTCTCAAAATCACCTTAACGGGTTTTCTAGGGTAAATGTTGATTAACTTGTCTAGAAAATTCGTCTTGTTACTTCATTTAATACATGTAGTATTGGCATGCAAAATATTTCAGCTTTATCCTTCTTAAAGAAAGTATAAATTATACCATATGCTTTATTTGAATCCAAATAATGTACTTGTAAATTTAGATTAAAATTATATATCCTATTTATTACTTAAGTATTTTACATTATCCAAGTATCATATTATCGATTTTATCAATAACAAAACGTTATGATTTACTCAGGTCCAATTTCATATAACTCTTGAGCTTAACAGTAATTATGTATAATTCACAAACTATCAACAATTTTCAAATGCCATAGATTAGAGGATTTTACTCATCTTTTATTTACAATTCAGTTTTAATTTAACTCAGCTAAAGTATTAACTAAAACCATACAGTTAGTAAAGCTTATACTGTACCATAATTATTAACATCGCTAATTATACGAATAACATTAACTTTCGTTCATATTTCATATAAATTCACCCCTTCTTCAACTATCTAAGTTGGTTTTTAATCTATTAATTGCCTCTTTGCCTAAATTAGTTATTTAATTATATGAATAGAGACAACCGAGAATCCTTATACCATTAATAAACTTGTAAAGTTGACCTCATCGCCCAGCATACAAATTCCACAAGGAAAAACCTCAGTATAATAACTAGACACAGGATAAAATTTCGGATAATACGGTAGGTACTAACAGAATAGCAGCTAGGTTAGCCTTATTATTGTCTGCATATATCGTAGTAACTTTCAACTTTGGGTTTCAGTAATTATTTACATTACTAAGTCTCAAATTATTTCAGAAGCTGTAAGAAATATTATCTTCATTTATTGGACATTGATGTTTATTATACGTGACTTCATAAAATTAACTAATGTTACTTCCTTTAATTTTATATTTTTTACCTACTAGATGATATCAGATGTTATGCCTCCATTCTTGCGTATTTATGTTTTATGTAACTCCATTAATTAAGTAGTTGATTGATTATCATCCCTCTCACGACTAATTGCTTTAACAAACAAATTAACAACGCTTCCCAAAATTTAATTACCGAATACTCTCTCCATTTCTTCATAAATTATGTATTTATAGTTATCATTAAATGTAATATTTGTATTTTTCGGCCAGCAATTGAAACTAGGTACTAAGCCTGGTAGCATGTTAAAACTTTGATACTTTTATAGCTGTATTAATCATTTTGTTTTGAATATAATCCTGGTTTTTATAAGTTTTATACACTGTTTTTTTTTTTTAATTTCTCTGCTAGTCTGGAATAAAAATTGCATATTATTTATGTTATTTTTGTAAAAGCCTAAAATTTCCTTGATCCTTATATCATATTGTTAACTATTTTTAGAGGACCAATGGTACCTGGCGCAGCTATCGTGGCTGAAGATATTAGATTGCGTAATATAAATAAAGTATTTTTATCCTAGCATAGGCCATAGGTATTCAACAATCAACTTATTATAAAAAAGATCGTTATTGCCCATTATACTGAAATTATCAATGGAGACATAATTTTAATTATCATTTGTCTTATAAAGATTTATTCACAGCTTAGACTCATGATATCAGGGGTAACAAGAATAATCTGCTCTAGAAAATCTGTGGATTATTTGTCTACAGGTAGCATCAATAAGTAGAAACCAGATATCTTCACGATAAGTAATAAATAATTCGAGCAAACTAATTAATCAAAATCAAAACCACAATCATAATCACATCCATACTTCATAAAATTAAACTGCTGAAAGAAGTATCAGTATTGCTCAGGTATAATCACTTGCTTATCTATAAAATTTAAAATTAAATCTATTTCGTAATCTAGCTGCAGGTCATCGAATAATGTTTGTATTTTACCTGGAAATTTTAGAAAATATTTTTTCAAATTAAAAAACTTGTCAATAATTTATTAACTTTGTTGACCCAATACAGGATCCAGTATCGAATTAACCTTTATAGATTCCGACCAGTCTTAAAATGTAACTTGAAGCAGTTAAGCTAATCAATGGCGGGCTTTATTTTTCTCTAGAAAATCAATTACTAACACCATCTACAAGAAGACTTTCTCAAAAATTTCGATGATAATGGCTATACTCTAGTAAAGATGACTAATATTAATTTCTATAATCATTATCTTTAATGCAATAATCGTATATCTTTATCCTTTAATTAACCTACTGCCATGTAGTTACAGTGTTGGTACACCGATTGGACTTACTGACATATAGAGATACAAGCCTGATAAACTTGTTTAATAGTATTCTTTTTAGACTTGTTAGTCTTGAGATACTAAATAGTAATTTTATTAATATATATATATATGAGTTATTCAAACTGGTCTCTCAAGACTCGAAACCATCCAACAATATATATCTCATCTATAGTTAATAGTATAAGTCAAAAGCGTTTTATCATCAGAGTCAGGATTAAGGCATGGGGATTTTATAATCCTTTTATACGTATTTAAGAGTGTGTAAGTGGAGGACTTTTATGGGTATCATTCTTTCCATAACCATCGTTGTTAAGTATGACTATAGTCATGCATGTGGCTAGGACTTGCTGTCGTGCGTTTGCATAATATTCATATATTTGTTCTTATTTGTGTTTGTACGTGGTGAAGTTTTGGTAGCGAGAGATCTCACACAGGTCGAGGTAGGGTAAACTGTTGGAAGTACCAACACTTTTAAGCGTATTAATTCCCGAAGTCTTTTCATAACTACCAGACTTGTAATTTCATACGATGAATTATCCAATAGCGATATCAATCTAATTCCAATTAACGATAATTGAAATAATATATTGAAGGTAGAAAAGCTTCTTATTTTATTTTCTTTGACGCTTTATACTGTATGTCAAAAAGATAAATAAATGGTTGAATCCTAACACATTATGAAAAGAGTAAAACTGGCTGGGAGCTCTGTAGTTTTCAATTACCTCAATAATCAAAGCAAACTTAAACTGAATAATCTGATACATTAGTTCTAAACAATGTACGGCAGTATGATGCAACTAAAGTATAATCTATTCTAAGTTGTTTCTAAAATAGTTATTCTCTCTTTTTGATTGAACTGCAGATAAAGAATAAATTGTTGACGCAGGTTCCAAACTGAGAAGGAACTGTTAACAGTTTTGAAGTCGCCATTAATTTGTTGATCCATTATTATAAACTATATTATTGGGAAGCCAATCCTTGTTTTTATTATACACAATTATAGAATGATTAAATAGAAGACAGGAATAGTTTCACTATGATAAAAAACTATTCCTTTCTATAACTTAAGGACTTCATCTAATTGTTCTAATTAGAGTTTGGTTATGACGGTATGCTGGTTAAGCATGCTGTGCTTTTAACGCTAACAAAATTCGAAAAGTCCCCCGGATGCTTTAGAAGCAAAGTTTTCCACTAATCAGGATTTCCAATTTCACTCAGTATTTTAGTCCAGCCACTAGTTTATCCCTCAGAGATCCAAACGTATCTCTTGGAAGTACCTTCTTCATGATGTCAGCTAACTGGTCCTTGGTATTAACATAATTCAAAATCAAAGTTCCTTGCTCAACTGCATGTCGCATCTTATGAAATTTAAGATCGATGTGTTTTGTTCTAGGATGGTATACCAGATTCTTGCTTAGATTTATAGCAGGTTTGTTGTCCACAAATAATTTAGTTTGGTCAAACTTCAATTTCATATACTTGAACAAGTTTGAGAGCCATTCAATTTCTTTAACAGCTTCACTAGCAGAAATATATTCGGCTTCGGTAGAAGAGAGACCGTCGTCTTAATCTTTTTGGAGGACCAAGTAACACAACCACCAGCTAGACGAGTGACATAACCACCCGTTGAGAAGGGCATATCCGCTAAAGAGCCATGCGAAGCATCGGAATAAACAGTAAGCTGAAGCGGCGAGCCCGCGCGATAACTGAGACCCTGGAAACAAGTAGTATACAGATATTGCATAACTCGATGAGCAGCATAGACATGAACAACTCGAGGATCCTTAAGGAAGCGAGGGAGTAGAGAAACAGAGTAAGCAATGTCAGGACGACCTGCATTCGCAATAAAAATGAGTTGATCGACAATTCTCTGATAAGCAGGAACATTTTCAGCGACAGGGGAGTTGTCGTCGAAGTAATTAATAGTAGGGAACAAAGGAATATGAACTTTCTTGTGGAGAGGAGTTTGTTGATCAGGAGCAGCTTTGGCAATATAGTCTGCAAGTGACAGAGTAATATTACCGTTGGAGAATTGAGTGATGTTCATCCCGAGAAATTTGAAAACAGGTCCAAGGTCTTTCATGGAATAAAGTTCCTGTAGTTTCTTTTTGGTCAAAGACAGAATTCGGGGAGAGGGAGCAGCAATCAACAAGTCATCGACATAAAGACCAATAAGTAAAGGACCATCCGCAGTTTGTTTGAAATAGAGACCAAACTCTTTTTCATTTCGAGTAAAACCCAATGCAGTCAGGGAACGATTAATATGCTTGTTCCAAAACAAAGGTGCCTGTTTTAAACCATACATTCCACCATATAACTTCCAAACCCAACCTTCGTGAGCAGGATCTGAATCAATAAAACTAGGAGGTTGTTTGACATAGACTGCGTCTTCCATCTGCGAGTTTAAGAAAGCAGTATCAACATCCATTTTATGAATGCGAAGATTCAGGCAGCAGGCCAATGCCAACAATACACGAACACTATCGTAGCGAATAACCGGGGCAAATGTTTCCGTGTAATCAATACCTCCTTTCTGGCGGAATTCCTGAGCAACCGAACAGACTTTCTTTCTGCCATCATCCTTTATGGTGAACACCCAGCGAGTTTCAAGGGAACGACCATCAATAGGAGGAGGAACCAGGGAAAATATCTTGTGTTCCTTAAACGCAGATAATTATTTCAGGAAAACAGCACGCCATTCAGCACCATCGGGACCATATAGTGCTTGTTTGATAGTAATAGGAGCCTCAGAAGTTTTCTGGCTAATGGAGCTGGCTAACAGACAGCAAATAGTGGAAAATCCAAGGGAGACGCATTGATAGGAGGCAAGACAGATAGAGCATCACTAGATGAAGTAAGATAACCTTGGGAAAGCACAGAGTGCGAAACAGCGGCGGAACCAAGGGATTCAATAGGTAACGGACTTGAAGGAGGAGGAAGAGCAATCTGACCAACCGGAATGCCGGCAGGAAACCACGTTGGTGGTAATGAATTAAAAGAAGGATTGGGATTTGATTTCAACTGTGCCCGAATGGGATCAGTATGAATATCAGCAACAGGCCTAGTAACAACTGACATTGACGGATAGAAAGGAGTATTTGGAGGAATACCTATTTCATTGATCATCTGATTATCAAGTGTTAACAGCTGATTACCAACACAAACATCTGCATCAATATTATCTAAGTGAACATTCCTCTTTTTCAAAAAATGAGTACCAGAAAATTCAGATTGAGTATAATCGAAAATATCCGTAGCAATTGATTCATTGGAATTTTTTTGTCCTGAACGGAAAGAGGCAATGATGTGTGACGGTTGTCTAAAAGTGTGTTCTAGATTACGAACTTTATCCTCTAATGTTGAAATATGGTTAGCATTAGAAACTTAACCAGCATACCGGCATCTATAAAGGACAAGCAGATGAAATCCTAAGCTATATATAAAGGGATAGTTTTCTATTTTAGTGAAACTATTCTATTTTAGTGAAACTATTCCTTCCCAATATCTCGTCATTCTATAATCATGTATAATACAAACAAGGGTTAGCTTCACAATAATATAGTCTATAATAATGGATCAATAAATGAGTGAGAACCTCGAAACTGTTAGCAACAATACCTTCTCAGTATGGAATCTGCGTCAACAGGCCATGAGCTCTGCTGCATTGAGTGATACTGCCATTCCCGTTAAGCTATTATGAGTTGATAACTTCAACAATTGGTTACAATATTTGAAATTCCACATTGGTTTTACCAATCCCATTTCGAGAGTATTTTTTGAAACTACTAATATTTATTCTGTGACCCCACAATTTAAATTGGCCGCTGATATAATCAATAGTGTCATTATAACCTTGGATATTGCCTTGAGAAGTTTATATCTGAAGTTTATCAGCGTTGAAGTTAGAATGAAGATTAATGAGTATTTTGACGATGATTTTAGCGATAACGGTTCATTAGTCCTTTTGGCTTATTTGAAAGAAATTTACGGTAAGAAGTATATTCAAGACATGGCACCAATTTATTTTGAAATGAATTCTGATTCCTCAAAATCATGGGAAGAGAAAACTATTTCGACTAGAAAATTCGTCAATTCTATATTTAATTTAGATTAGATGAATAACTAAATTCCTGATCCTACCATTAGAAATGCTATTATTGCATACTTTCGAGATCTTTACGATTCTGATACTACCAGTCTATTAATGGTTATTACTTCAGACCTGAAGGAAAAGTTCTTTAATTTCTTCGGTCAGAAGAATACTGTTACTTTCAAGGAAGTATACAATAAGATCAAGACTACCAAGCCTTCTGAGGTTGGCGTAACTACTGCTGCTCTGGCTGCCAAGAAGAAGTCGTAAGGTAATAAGCAAAAACATTTTTACAAGACCTGCAAAGGTTCTCATGCCACAAACTTTACCCCAGACGCCCAAGTTGAAGGCGTTTGGATAGCTACCGCATCTGAAGAATTATGTTTCAATTCCCACATTTTATCCTTGGACCCTTTTGCTTCCGAAGATAAGTTCGCTTGGGTTTTAGCCAGGGGGTGTAACACTCGCTTTTCATGTAGTAGAGAATTTTTCTCTAACTTCAGGCCATATATAAATAACGGTACTATTAGCGGTGTAGCTGGTTCTGTTAAAATCAGAGGTTAAAGTAATGTTAGGGTTGGTAGTTTAATTTCTTGTGACGTTGCTTATATCCCTGACTTACCGATTAACTTATCTTCCATTCGGCAAGCCTCTAAGAAGTCAGGTTGTTCCTTTTCTTCTGATGGTACTAGTGCTTATGTATTATCTGCTAATAACAAATTAATCAAGATTGGAAGTCTGTATAAAAAATTGTACGTTATTGACCAATCCTTGTCTAAGAACGATGAAACGCTAGTAGCTTTTGTTGCTACTAGAGATCCCCTACTTCCTTCTCATGCAGAACCTGTCTCAACTACTATCCACTGGCATGCTCGTTTTGGCCATCCAGGTTTGGTTAGGTACAATTCTGTTGTTAAACGATTGTCATTTTCAAGGATTGTTCCTGAGCAAGGTTTTGCATGTCCTACGTGTACCCTTACTAAGGATGTAATGCGTAAAGGTAAATCATCTGATATTAAGCCCACCAGTAATTTACAATTGGTTCAGGTTGATAAATGAGGTAGTTTTTGCTACAAGGAATTTGAAGATAACAAATACTGCATGACTATTCGTGATGCCTTCACTAGATATTATTCTGTGATCTTCTTGAAGGATAAGAAGGATGTTCCAGTTCAATTAATTAATTGGATTCAGAAAACTGAAAAGGGTTTTGCTTCTAGAGGTAGTTATAAACTTGGTTCGTTACGTACTGGTAATGGCGGTGAATTTAGAAATAAACTATTACATGATTTTCTCATTGAGCAAGGTATAACTCATGACCTTACGGTTTCGTACAATAGTTTTCAAAACGGTGGTGTAGAACCTAGTAATAGTATTGTTGAGTAAACAACAAGATGTTTTGTTATTTCAGGTCGTGTTCCTCCATCTCTATGAAGTGAAACTGTCTCATGTGCAATTTATATAATTAATCGAATTCCTATCACATCCAGGAGGAATAAGATTTCAGTTCATGAGTAGTATTGAATCAAATTACCACTTAATGGTTTTAATCATTTGCGTACTTTTGGATGTGTGCCTTTTGCAACTATTCCACTCCAACTGCGTGATGGTAAATTTTCTCCAGGTGACATTCAGGTTGAAATGGTCGGTTACAAATCTGTACACAAAGGCTATAGAATATCACATCCTGAATTTCGTAGAGTATTTGCTAATAATCAATTTACTTTTGATAATCTAATTTTTCGCTTGGAGGTGTTGACATCACTGTAGATGCTCAAAAATTTGCTACCGGTACATTGAATGGTACTCAGTCTTACCCCAATTGCACATCTACGTTTGCGGGGGTTATTCTCTTGCCAGGTTTTTCGACTGGCACTTCACCTTCACATTATGCATCTCCACCAAATAAAGGTACTGATGTTATTAATGTATGCAGTAATGATCAAATGGACAGGGATAACTCACATATGACACATAGTAGTCCATATATAACCCACGCCCCTTCGATTACTCCCAAATCACCGGTTGCAACTGATTAGCAGGTTAATGGACACAGCACTAGTATTGAAACTATGAGTTCCTCGTCATCTGATGATTTTTCTATTGATTCAAATGTTAAAGTATCCTCTCAGTTGGTATCCATGTTCAAAAATATCACCAATCAGGACTGAGTACCTGAACGCACTAGATCATACACTAGTTCAACCGGAGTAATACCTGTCCCCAGAGGGGGAAAATGTTGATACTCCGTTATTTCCTTCAAGTGATGAGTTTACTGGGTCTTCCGACAACTTTTACCGTTTACTAAAACAGGAGGGATCTTCACCTCGGAATGATTTGTTACGACTAACCCAACTTCAGGAACAGGTTGAATCGTTGGAACGCATGAACAAAGCCCAGGCTTCATTAATTGATACACTCAGAAGTATACAGAAGTCTTCCAATGATGTTATTGACATTTATAATGCCAATGTCACAGAATTTCTAATTACAAGGTTTACTAAGCATCGTAAAGATCAGCTCGATGATGTTGACCGGACTGTGGATATTGGTAACACTCTAACAACCATAACCTGTTGAAGCAATTTTGAAACTAAGAAGGAATAATTGACAGTTTCGAAATTATCATTCATTTGTTGATTATTCTTAGACCATATTATTGTGAAACTAATCCTTGGTATTTATTATACATATGTATATATGGATTAGATAGATGGCAGGAATAGTTTTGCTAAGGTAGGAAACTATTCATATATATAGTCTTAAGGATTTCATCTGATTATTCTAATTAGATACTAGTATGCTGGTATGGTAGTTAAGCCGGTTGTACTTGTTGTGTTTCTAACGCTAACCATATTCCAACAGCTTAAACGGTCTTCTATTATTGACAATTTGTAGTTGAGTATTTTTCCACTTCTATCAACTATTTTACTTTAATGTAACGCTAGTAACTTGATGTTATGTTTTTTTCTCTGTATATGATTGCAACTGAAATATGACTTACACAATTTGATCCATCAAAAATATTCAGGTTCACCAAATATTAGGATAATGTAAAAGTTTTGATTGGAGGCAACTTGATAATTGATTTATATTTTAACTGGTTGATGAATTATTCTATAAGCTCTATCAGTAACTCAATACCTTCAGCATTTTATGTCATATTTCTGTAAAGATATGATTATAAAATAAATCAAACTGCTTCATGTTTGCAAATACATTTTATTTTATTAGCGATTTCATTAATTTTATATGATCATGTTGATGTTTGTTTTAATGAAAGACATTTACAAGAAGGATTTAAAAATAAAATTACTATTTTAACAATTATTGTTTTTCTATTATTCCGTTGTTCTCTCAGCTGTTCTTACTTATCAACCATATTGATATAATTAAGGTAATGAAATCAAAGGATAGATGGTTTCTATAATTGGGTGAAGTCAATTTGGTGGTTCAAGCTTTTTATTATATGACAACCTTTTGACTAGTATACAATTATAGGTATATAGAATAAATATAAGATATTAGGCTCAAGTCTGCATCAGATTTTAACGATATAAATAGCTTTTTGTATAGTTCACAAAGTTTAAAATAAGCAGGAAATAGAGCATTACTTAGATAAAAAAAATAACTGTTACTACTCGGCCGCCCCAATAGATTATTATTTTATCCATTGGAAGTATATTATTTTATCCATTATATTATACCTTATACCCATATACTAATATATCTATATAGAACACTGTGAATATTGGTCTTCTAGAAACATAAGATAGAGCGTCTCTGCAGCACATCAACTGGTCCCTTGTTCCTTTCTACTGTTTACCATAAAAGGCAACGAAAAGGTTATGGACGGAACCACGCATTAGCCCGAAATGCATTTAAATTCTGCAGAGTTATTAGAGCCCGATCTCAAAATTTTGATGAACCCAAACACACTCCTGCAACTTTTCCCAGCAACCGCACGGTATCCATGGAAGCTGTACAAGGTACACTGCCGAGACAAAAGGAACGAAAAATTTTCATTCCTTCTCCACAACAACATCCAAAATTTGTCCATCTTATAAAATAGAAGGATAAAATTGTATAAATACAGGAATAATTGCAGTTACTAATACTGTTTCTCGAATTCCATGATCAAGAACTATTAAATGCCAATTTATTTGTAGAAATATAATCAAGTGTGTTTTAGTTGCACTATACAACGGATTGTTTGAATATGTTAGGCACAAATATATTTGTACTACTATCTGTGTTCTTCACTTTGACTTTCAGTTCCAATATCGATGCCAATGCATTAGGCAAAAATGAAGACATGGCGGTAAATCCAGATGATCGTGGTCAGTATAAGGGTATTAATATTGGTGGTTGGTTGGTGACTGAACCTTACATCACTCCCTCACTATACAAGGACGCCATGGCTCTGGCAAAGAAAAAAGGATCAAACGTGACTATCATTAACGAATACACTTTATGTGAAGCATTGGGATACGATGATGCTAAGGAATTATTAGACAATCATTTCAAAACCTGGATTACTGAAGATGACTTCAAGAAGATTAGTGAAGAAGGTTTCAATTATGTCGAAATTCCTATTGGGTACTGGGCGTGGAAAATTGACAATACAACCAATTTT